AAGTGAAATGGCACCCTGAATGTTACAAAAGAATTTAAAAAAAAAGATTCTTTGGAACGAATGGAGAAAAAGTATAATGCCCAGCAACAGGAAGCTTCAAGTAACTCGGAATCGGTGCCGATATCACAGGAAGTTTCAACGGAAAAGCTGAAATTAGTTTTTGGAAGAAGTTTTTGGAAGCAACCTCATCCATGCTTCAGGCGTTGGTATCTTTGGGCAAAAATTAAACGTTAAGTTTCGACCGAAAATATGTACCCTACTCGAGCAGCCTTGAAAAAGGCAGTAGAGAGGTGCCACTCAGTGCATTAAATGGAATCGGGATACATGGGCTCACCCCAATTTACCACCTGCAACAAGTTACGGTTTGATTACAGAGGTTATTCTAAGGCTTTTTTCCTTTTTTTCCACTGCACAGAGAAGTAAAGTGGAGCTATGATGCCGTCAGCATAAAAGTAGTTGAATCTCTCATAGAATTCGTCACCGAAAGGCATGAAATGGACGCTGGATAAGCTATTAGTGATAAGAAGCTGACGCTTGCTGAATTCTGAGTTGGTTAACTTTTCAACCAGTTCTTCGGAATTCCTCAATGCAACTAAAATTTTCGCACATATCTTGAATGCTAAATCGCATAGACTTATAAGTATCAGCAATACATTAAAAAACCTATCTCGAAGTAGCTTGTCAGTAGATTCTGAAAATAAATGGGATCCTCGACAAGCCATTATAGTTTGGTTAAATAATGCGCCAGCACAGAGTCTAGGAAACTGCACAGATGGTATAGTATTTTTAATCTGACTTGAAACACTAAAAAAACATCAAGTCGGCATACAGCAAACAAATAAAGGACATGGGCGTCACATAATTTTTATTTCCTCAAATGGTGATAATCAATATGAAACAACACAACTAAATAATAAGTGGAATAAAACAGCAAATATTGAATAAATTGGGATGACACTGGTTATAGAAATCGCGTAGTCTAGTCAGTAGGTTTATCTACATCGTTCCCGTGAAGACGTAAGTAGGCCCACCCCAATAATTGAACCTATAGGCGCGTGCCGACCTAAATTATTATTTTGGGCTACTGTAGCGGTATTTCCTATGAAATTATTAGAAGAGAGCGACGTGATGTTGAAATATCCTCGTATAATGCAGTGCTTCAAGTCAGAATAAAAATACTTTACAAAGGTATTTATGATGAAGCCAATGCTAACGACAAGGATAAGACAAGGGGAGAGTTTGGAGATCGTTCTGAGGGAAAAAATACCAAGACATTCTAGAATAAATGTATTGATAGTGCCATTGTATTCTCATAATGTAGCACATTATGTCAACTATATTATTTCTAGTTTGTTCTGTTCTAAGTTTTTTGTTTGTAATAAATGAAAAAAATAACTATACACGGATTTTAATTTCCTACTGCACGTTAGAATAACCTCTGGGTTGGAAATTTGGCACTAATGGATTGGAATTAGAACCAATAATGTATAGCCTTCCCTGCGCATCTGAAGAAATAAATAATCTACTAAAATGTTCTTGGTAAAAAAACAATTGTTCTCAAAGATGCAAATGTTCAGCACAAAATATACTTTGCACGGAAATGGGTGAATGTGAAGCTGATCCAGAATGTTGTTCAAATACTAAAGCAGATGAAAAATGAACCTATGACACAACTTTTTAAACTTGATTGAATTTTTTGAGTAAAAAAAGGATTCATATGTTGCTAAACTAACGGGCTTAAAATCTGTGAAAAATAAGTTATATGATATATGAAACATTTCAGGTATCAGCAAAATTGATTTAATTTCCATACATATCCATAAAATGTTCAGTTTTTTTTATCGATGGGGAAACCATACCATTACATTTTTCCATTTCATGTTGGGATAGTTGAAATCGCCCAATATGAATGTTCGAGTATTACCATACTAGTATAAGCAATTTTAATTGCATTGATCATCTGGGTATTGGCTTGCTTGTGTGTAGTATTTCCTGGCCTGTAGATACATGCTACAGGTTTTTATGAGAAACTTTTGATCATCGCTGGAAAAGTTTCAAATTATACTTTTGTCGAAAATCCGTCTCCCCTGCTAACTATTCTCTGGTTCAGACATGCAAGAAACTTCTATTCACAACCAACGGCTGATTTACAGGTTCTTTCATCTGCCATTAATTTTCTTCAATTTCATTCTCTTTTTGCTCCATCTAATTCAATTTTGAATTGTCCTGTGGTACTAGCATCATCACAGGTTCACTCCAAATAATTTTATGTCTGGATGCTGATTCTACTCTGAATGAACTTCAGAACTCGCTAAAGTCCAACAAATACCATTTTAAAGTCACGTGATTTTTCTCTATCCTTGTTGAATACATCTCAAACTGCGGTGATAGTAAAATTGACAAAAAAATTGGTGTCTAATTATTGTTCATAATATTCTTACCTGAAATAGAATCCGTTACTGTCATCAATTAGTTTGTCAAAGTTATTTTCGAAAATGGTACAACGAACAAACACAGCTAATAATTTTCAATATATTAGCCTTTTTCCAACTCGAAAAGAAGCAAATAGAAAATGGGTACCCAATTCAAGTTCAGAATGTACTACAACGGACAGCAGATGCGACAAAAATGAGTCTCGCAACAATTGCAAGTATTAAAATTTCCATCTGATTGGTCAATACTACTTCAGAAACGCGTTTGTAAAATGCTAGTGGGAACATATCTTAAAATTCAATAGTAATTAACCACCAGTAGCTTTTTGTAGGTGATGTCAACGACATAATCAATGAACATACGTTTTTTTGCCACCAATATCACGTGACTTTAAAATGGTATTTGTCGGACTTTATCAAGCAGATAATATTTTTGTTTACCTTATTATTTATTGTGATATGCCATTCTATTAGTCATAGCTATTAGTTTATATCAGTGATTTTTTTCTGCTCTAATGTCTATAGAAAGGAGGACACTGTTTCCATTCCAGTTTTATTTTGTCACTATCAAAGTCTCTTCACTGGCCCGTTTAGACATGTTTGAAGTGAAATTTCTTCACTAGCCAAATACAGAAGGAAGAACTTAGGGCCTAGCTTCGGAACTATCTCCCAGTTTGCACCAGAGATATGGGAGAGTTGTTGGTGAGAATAGAATAAGGGTCCATCCTGCGCAACTGGCCGAATTTGAAGGACCGCCATTTTTATCACTTGTCAAATTAAGTGTTGGAAAAATAGGTCATGAACAACTCATAACTCCAAAAATAGGCAAGAATAAATCTTTTAAAACACCGTTCTGATAAAAATATCTCAGAAAAAGCAGGAAAAATCGCCAAAAACAACAATCTGTAACCAATTCTGTAAACGACCAAATGTAAGGTGATGTTGTGAAAAATTTGTCAGATATAAGTTGTCACCGTAAAGACCATTGAGGTAGAATAATAAGGAGGCGACATGAGGATAAAAAAGCGTATCCACTTCCGCCATATTGCTACGACATTTCTGTCTGAGATTCTGTCACCTTTGTCATAGCAACGCGTCAGAATTGCATCAGGGCCGCATTTTCCATCCGAAGATTTTTTAAATGCGAAAAATTTTTGAAGCCCAGAATTTCTATTTTGGGTCTTGGAAGGATCTCCTGTTTCAGTATGTTGAAGTTCCCGTATCAACTTTTCCTTTCTTGATCTAATCTCGATTTTTTTATGTTTTTAGATAAAAATTATAAAGAATCCATTTAGTTCGGCTCTGTTTGGGTAGCCATATTGTTCCGACACTTAGACACGCCTACTCATGCCGTTTTCTATTGCACTATTCAAATGATGACAGCGTCTCCTTATTTATTTTACCCAATGAACTATAACCAAAAACTGGAATGCGAACACATATTGACGAACGTGAAGCCTAGTGCCGCTGCTGCGGAGGGGATACCTGTTTTTGTCGCACTCATCATGTTAAATGGCGGAAATTGCTTCCAACACGTATTCCAATTGATGAAACCTGTGAAGGTAAATATGACAAAACTTTCCAAAACGCCATATGTCAGCGAGCAACAGAAAAAAACAACATTCCCCTTTGTGGCATCTGTCTTTCATGGCTACATTTTTTTGGCAGATATGGCAATGTGTGCGCATTCCAGTTTTTGACTATAGTTCATTGATTTTACCTCAATGGTAAAGACTAATGGCGTTTCCGATTGGCAGATTTAATGCGCACTGAGTGTATCCTCATCCTTTTCCATTAATCTGTAGAAGAAAAAGACAGAAATAAAGAAAACTGCATTAGATCTACTAATCGGAAACGGTGTAAGTGAAAAGTGATAAAAATGGCGGCACCCTATGCGTTACCATAAAATCGGATGCGCAGTCGTCTAAGCGCATTCTATTTCCCTCACATATCTCTGGTTTGCACCCATTGAGAAAGTCTCAAACTTATTGAAAGATTGCTTATTGTTTATATAAGAAAAAAAATGGCGATCAGATGTGTAGTAAAGTTTGTTTCACCAGGGTTTGTACGTACTTGCCACCAGCATTTGTCTTCCTTGTTTAAGAAATAAAAATTGACTGAAACAAATCAATGACGTCAAAAACGATCGTCGGTTCTTAAACCAGACGTCATTCATTTTAATTTGTCAAAAAAATTGAACGTGTCATATGAATTATTCTACGACAACCCTTTTTTGTCAAGTTTCAAGGTCAAGTATGAACCCTGGTGAAACGAACTTTAGTGTAGTTGTGCTCCGTGTTTTTTGCTATTTTAACCGGTGTTGCGCTGGGCTCAAACTTTTTGAATTTGGGATCAGTGTGTGCGCAATAATTTGCTGACTTTATGCCGAGACGCTTAGGGACTCTTTACCTAAAATTGGAGGCATTTATTGCTAAAAATAGATCCTGTAGTAATTCAATGAACACAAGACGACCCGCTATTTTTTGCTGTACCTGCAAAAAACAATTTCACACCAATTGTGTTTCCAATACCGATTACCTTTCCGATTTATTGAACAGTATTACATAGAGGTCTATTGTGGAAGTGCGAGGACCGCGCTGATTCATTTATTTGCGCTAATCAATATGATGTTGAAACCCGTGTTAAGGAACAGGTTCAGGTTGCTATTTCTGATCCAAAAGCCATGTTCAAGTCACTAACTCTAAACTTTTTAAAGTCAGTTGAATCCAAACTTCAGCCTGCTTTGGCCAAACAACAACCTGGTTCTTCTGCTACAAAGAAGCTCAATTACGCCCAAATTGCCCGTAATAATGCTCAGCCTGGAATAATAATCAAAGCAGAGGATAATAAGCAAGAGTGTTCCAGAACTAAATCAGATGTGGTAAGAGAAATATGTCGTGCTGATTCTAACATCCAGTTGTCCCAATTAAGAACGGTCAAGAAGGGTGGGTTGTAAAAACACCATGACAATAAAAAAACTTAAGAAAATGGTACAACAGAAGATGTTTCAAGTTCGTGGCGTTAATCCCAGAATTCGTATTGTTGGAATCTACCGAAGGCTAGAAAAACAAAAACTTCTGGATACTATAAGGAAGTGTAACTGTGATATTTTTTCTGACAATTCAACTTGTTCATTAATTAAATTTTGGCCGACTAAAAAAGAAAAAAATGTATTTCAGGCCACCCTATAGGTGGATAGGTGTACTTTTGAGAATGCTTTTGACTTTGGTAATTTATTTGTCGATCTTGACTGTTGTAAGGTGTTTGTAGTACAGTAAATAGGGATATTTTACTAAAAAAAAATACTTAATGGCTGAAATTTTGAGGGTGTGTTCGGGAGCATGTCCTGAGTCTAAAACTGAGTTTTCGTATTCGAGGGGGTGGGGGAAGATACTACCCCCTCTTTATGTAGGGTTGAGTTCGTTTTAATTCCTTATCTTCGGTGCTATTGCCCGTACCGTCAAGTTCGAGAGATCAAATTTATGGGAAATGAAATTATCTATCTAACGATAATAAAATCAAGGTCATAGGACGATTAGGTGAATCACAATGGCCGGTCAAAGGTCAAAAGTGGGGGGTAGTTTTTGGTTTTTCGTGAATACCGTGAAACCGGTAGGTTTTTTCGCATACTGCTTAGATACCATTTCGAAGTACTTGAAATTACCTACAAAATGAGTGCTCAAACACCCATCTACTGTGAATAGTTTGCCGTCAATGCCCCCGAACACACCCTCAAAATTTCAGCCATTAAGTATTTTTTTTTAGTAAATGCGATTTATTTGTCTCTATTTACTGTACTATTGATGCAATTGAAGTTTTTAGGTGTTTCACCTGTAATGAATTTTATTTTTAACCATATATGAAATGTTGTCATTACTGACTTTTCAAAAATTTGAAAATGTCACATTTCTGTCTTTTCATTTTCCTGCTCCATTACCTGTCCCAGGACGGGAAGTGAGGACGGGAAATTTTTTCCATCCTCATTTCCCGTCCACGGACGGAAAATGGAGCAGGGAAATATTTCCCGTTCTCATTTTCCTCTTCATTTGCCGACCTCATTTGGTTGCCCCGATTTTTTTTTTTTCAAGAATTTATGGTTAAAAATAAAATAGTATACAACCCTCGACGGGAAACTTCATTGCTGTCTCTCGACCAGTAATGAAGCAATTCCCGTCTCGGATTGTAATATACTATTATCATGCCTCGAGTGACTACAAAAATTCTGTTTCTTGCCCCAGGTGTGGTCAGGGCCATCAGGTTCAGGATTGTAATGCTGCTTCTTTGACTTGTAGTACTTGCGTGAAACTGAATGTGTAACTAAGCGGATCTCTTGATACAAACTTGGGATTTGTCGCTGTGCACAACCTACTTAAAAGCTTGCAATAGACTTGGATCGGATGTTTTGGCCGATCGAAAGCCACTACTATATCCCCTTTTAATTCATCCACATGTGGTGTCTGGTGAAGGTCGTAGCGATAACAATATTTTTATTTATTACCAAAAACCTAGAAGTATTGAAAATTGCACTGCAGATATTTTTAATAACTTGACTCACTTTGAGTATGATATTGTCGCTTTGATTGAAACTTGGCTTGACCCAACAGTTACGGATGCCAAAGTGTGCCCCGAATATTTTAATTTATTTAGATCTGATAGAAACTTCGCTGCAATTAACCGAGCACGCGGGGGAGGGGGAGTTTTGCTTGCCATGCGTAATAATTTTTTCTCTGAACAACTTAACATAAACCTGGCAAATGTGAATGTATCGCCACTTATCGATATAGTGGGTGTCAAGTTTATAGGTTTGTATATTTCATTATTATACAGTGTGTCCGAAATTCGAGTCTCTACATGGGGATTTTCGCTTATTATGAGAGGCTCAAATTAGGAAAGTTTTAGGGAATTTATTGCTCATTTATATCCTGTTGTTAAATTTGCTTCAAAGTTTTCTGTTTCCTAGAAATCCGAGAAAAACTGAAAATAGCGAATTTTGTTTTTTGTCAATAATTCATAAACCGTTAACTTTAGACTTTTCTAACTTTAACATTATTGAGACACTTTTCTGAGATCGATATTTTCATGATTTGAAAACATTCCGAACGTCGTTTGTTTTCGAGTTATCAACCAAAACTTTCTTATTTCTGATGGCGGCCATCTTCGATTTCAACAAAATAATATTCTGCGAAAAAAAAACCTTTGAAATGATGTATTACAAGCTATGAAAACGTTTTGCAAGTCCTTCAAAATTACAGTTGGAACCGATATTTTGCTAAATTTGGCAACAATGCTCATAGTTATAAGAATAAACCAAATAAGTATGATTTAATACCTAGAATCGGTATTTTTGAAGTCTTCTGGCAATTTTACTGGATAAAGAAAAAATAAGTAGGTAAGATATTCCACATGTTTTTTTTTTTTGTAATGTAAACAACATGAATTACAGCTTTCCTCCTTTCTTCTTTCGGTTTTACGCCTTACGCCTCGGAAAAAATTATACCAATTTGGATATTCCAGATACAATTCTGAAGGACGGCTTTGCACTCTCAGATTTTCAGTCTTTGAGAGACTATTCGACCTTGTATTATTATTTTAATAAAATATTCTTAAATTCGATTATCAAGACAATAATATTACGATGGGTCGCTTTTTTGGCTTCTTTATCTATGACGTGGACTGATAGGAATTTCCTATCAGTCCTTCACGCAAAAACAGAATTGTATCTGGAATGTCCAATTTGGTATAATTTTTCCCGAGGCGTAAAACCGAAAGAAGAAAGGAGGAAAGCTGTAATAGACCTATCTATTTTTACCTGGTATGCGCGCGCAACACGAGGCAATGCATTTTTATTGGCTACCTAGTACAGGTGAGAGGTGATCGTTTTGCACGCTGGGCATCTCCTTGTCCTTGTTCATTGCCCGTGGTCTGACAAGAATCAACGTACAGTTGATATTCAATTTGACAAATGTCATTCAAAAGTTGTTTGACATTTTCATTGACAAATACGTTGCACAACACGCGGTCTTTCTCCTTCCCTTTTTATCCCGTGCAAGTAAGAAGGACGGATTGCTATACGTAAGTCTAACATAATTTGGTATGTTTTGCCTCGTCTTGCGCAATGAGCATTCTGTGTCTTTTTTTATCTAATGAAGTTTTCGTATTATTACCTCTTTGTCTGATAAAATAGATAGGTCTATTCATGTTGTTTACATTACAAAAAAAAAAAACTTGTGGAATACCTTACCTACTTATTTTTTCTTTATCCAGTAAAATTGCCAGAAGACTTCAAAAATACCGATTCTAGGTATTAAATCATACTTATTTGGCTTTATTCTTATAACTATGAGCATTGTTGCCAAATTTAGCAAAATATCGGTTCCAACTGTAATTTTGAAGGACTTGCAAAACGTTTTCATAGCTTGTAATAAATCATTTTAAAGGATTTTTTTTGTAGGATATTATTTCGTTGGAATCGAAGATGGCCGCCATAAGAAATAAGAAAGTTTTGGTTGATAACTCGAAAACAAACGACGATCGGAATGTTTTCAAATCACGAAAATATCCGTCTCAAAAAAGTGTCTCAATATAATGTTTAAGTTAGAAAAGTCTAAAGTTGACGGTTTATCAATTATTGACAAAAAACAAAATTGGCTGTTTTCAGTTTTTCTCGGATTTCTAGGAAACAAAAAACTTTGAAGCAAATTTAACAACAGGATATAAATGAGCAATAAATTCCCTAAAACTTTCCTAATTTGAGCCACCCTGTATCTCTCATAATAAGCGAAATCCCCATGTAAAGACTCGAATTTCGGACACACTGTATGTGCCTCCTGGGTTGGGTGTAGAGGAATTTAGGCGGTTTTTCGACTATTTATCTTTATTTGAGCCTATGAATGGTTCAGATACTCTCTTGCTAGGAGATTTTAATGTGAAAGTTATTCGGATTATTCAAAAAGCGATCAACAAAATACTGGCTAACCAGAGTAGATGATCAGTATGATCACCACCCGGCACCCACCATTGTCTGTGACATTTGTGTATAATGAAGGTATTAATTTGAGTCGAGAAAAAAACACAATAGGTGCAACTTCAGAAAGGCGAATTTTCCGGCTCTTTATGGCATGCTTCTTGATGTTGATTGGGCTTTTCTTGATGACATAAATGATATTGATGAGTGTTGCAGAATGTTTTATCATAGGATGCATACTATTTTTGATGAGTGTGTTACCAGGATTGGGTTATCAAATCGACAAGTCTTTATACGCCTTGGTTTCATAATGATATTAAACGTAACATAAGACTTGAGTCTATATCCTGGAGGAAATATAAAGCATCGAGTGATATATCAGACTATGAGGATTTTTCCAGGTTAAGGCGTCAAATCAAGGTGGATGATGACGTCTCCTATAGGAATTATATGCGTCTGATCGAAGGTGGTTGATGACGCGAGTAAATTCTGGGCCTTTGAGGGCTCTAAGAGGGGATCGACTTGTGTGGGTAGGGCGAGGGGTTATTCACTAAGGGAAAAATGTGACAAGATTTCGGATTTAGAACGATTTTGAGGGATTTCGGGTGATTTCGAAGGATTTCGGGTGATTTCGAAGGATTTTGGTAGGATTTCGGAAAGATTTCGAGGGATTATTCACTGTGACAAGATTTCGGATTTAGATCGATTTTGAGGGATTTCGGTTGATTTCGGGTGATTTCGAATGCATGCATCATGCATTCGCTGATTTTTTTAGTTGTTCCTATCATGCACCCTCTGGTTAACCTTTTGCCACCTCCACCACTCTCTTTTTCTAATACAGCTAATGACATCACTAGTTTTAGTTAGATGGAGGTTTCTGATGCAATTAAATGAATCAGGCCGAAGTTGACGACAGGTCCTGATAATGTTCCAGCATTTATCGTCAGGGATTGCGCTAGAGTTTTTGCGCATCCGTTGTCCGTGATTTTTAATAAGTGTCTCGGTGTGTCGGAAATATCCAGGGTTTGGAAATGCACGAAAGTATGTCCCGTTTTTAAAAAAAGGAAACAGACTGGATATTTCAAACTTTAGACCAATTTCTTTGATTCCTATCTTTTTCAAAGTGTTTGAGATACTGTTACATGACGGTATATAACGTCTAGAGTGAAAAATCTGCTTCAGAATGGATTTTTCAAGGGCCGTTCAACTGTCACATATGGCTTGTATTACTGAATTTGTCGCAGAGGGAATTGATCGGCGTAGGCAGGCAGACGTTTATACTGTTGCATGAGTTACTTGATTTTGGATTCTCTAATAATTTACTCTCATTATCAACATCCTATTTGACGAATAGAAGTCAATTTGTGACTTATGATGGGGCTCGGTTGATTGATTATCTTGCACGGTCTGGAGTTTCTCAGGGTTCAGTCCTGGGACCATTGTTTTTTACCTTATTTATCAATGATATTGTAGAAAGTCTCACTGTTCCCTGTTTGCTGTATGCTGATGACGTTGAACTATTTTCCATTATTTCTTCTCAGGACGATTGTCGGTTACTGCAGCAAAATTTAGATTTGCTGAATCATCATCTTAATATTTCTAAGTGTAACGTTATGTCTTTTACATCTACTACTTACTACTCTCGAATTTGACTATGGCATTAATGGGGATATTCTGACGCGGCCTAATGTTTTCAGAGATCTAGGCATTGTTTTTGATAAGCAAATGTCTTTTGTTCCGCACATAAATCTTCTTGTATCAGATGCGTTTAGGATTCTTGGCTTTGTACTTCGCAATACACACAATTTTCAGGGTATCGTTCCATTACAGAAGTTATTTTCTGCATTGGTTTTGTCCAAACTAGAGTATGCTTCGATCGTTTGGTGTCCGAATTATGAGGTTCATACTGAGCACATTGAATCTGTCCATCGAAGATTTGCCAACGCATTATGGTTTAGACAGGATGGTATTTATTCCTCTGTTGGTTTTCCTCATGATCAGCTGTTAAGCAGATTTTCTCTGGTCAGACTGGAGATACGACGCGAATGCTTCTCACAAAATTTTCTGCATAAAATTATTCATTCTATCATAATATGCGAATATCTGCTGGCTAAATTAAACTTTCGAGTTCCTGCCTTGTGTTCACGTGATCGAAGCACTTTTTATTTACAACCCTATAGGATGGATGTCTTTAGGTACTCGCGTACTCGCCAATCAACACAATGTGCATCAAACAACAATATAAACAATATCACTCTGGTGTATTGCACCTGTTTTGTAAATGGGGTGACACTGTTAAACAGTCTATTTAAATAGATAAATAAAAAAATAAAATGATCTACTGATTTATGAGCATGATATATGAACGTGATATTGTTGATGGTTCCAGGGCCATCAACAGAATTAATTATACTTATTTTTATGGCTTAACTAAAGCAGCTTAGAGGGTCCATAGTTTCAAAAGTGATTGTGGTACAACGTGCCTTAAGGATCCCACTATGGTCTTTTATTTTACAACTTTAAACTGGTTCATCACTCTATGTATAATCTATAGAATGTAAACGATAAGTTTTCTTTTTCCAGAAAAATTTGAACTAGTACAAATTATTAGTAGGTACAATTAATTATTTATCTCTACAAAATAAACTAAAGTTATATTGTTTTTTAAACCATCAATAGCGAAAAACTCTGTTGTGCGTTCTATAAGCATTTACAAGCAAATTGGATTGGATTTTTTTTATAGGTTAAAACGTCGAATTCACCTGCGATAAAGCCACTATATGTAACACGTTTAAGCATTTTTGTAATGGGATTTTTTTTTTAGTCACACCAACAGGGGATTAGGTAACAAATGAGTTTTATTTTAAAGCGCAAATTTTGTCAAAAATTTGATACAAACTTGTAACAAAAAACCATTTAAATTTAAAGCCAAAAAAGACTCAGTTTAAGCGGCAGGGGAACACAGCAAATAATGGCACAAAACGGGATTAAAAATCCAGCTACTACTCACAATAAAGACGTGACGGGACGGAAAGTATAATTTAATCGGGCTACTTTTAACTTATTCCGTCCGAATGATTTTTGCTTTTCCTTTTGCAGCCAAGTGGATTTGATATTTTGCTTTAATCTTTTGTCGTTCTATAATTACAAAAAAACAAGTAACAGCGTTATTAACAATCAAACTGGGTGTGGGTGTGCATTTTTTTAAAAACAATACAACAATAAACCATCCATGAATTTAATAATAATAGCACAAAGCTTTTCACAAAATGGTCTATCAGGCTTAAATTTTAGTTACCACGAATAGAGAGCTCATTACATTTGCCAAACTGATTTGAATCCAGACACTAATGATGATAAATCGCATAATGGTGCATTGGAGTTTGATTTGTTATATGGGATTATTGAATGTGTTTTGTAAATAATCTAAATGCATCTCGCGTCTGAATAATCCCTTTAGTCGGATCTGGCAATTTAATGGATATGTTGATGTGTTAATAGAATTTAAAGTAGTTCAATGTAAATGCCCAAAGAAAAAAAGTTTTACAAAAAATATTGATCTGAATTTAAAAAATAAAAATCTCAGCAAACACAACAAATAAAGTAGAGGGGGCTTGAAGTTGCTTAAAAAGTATATGAGGAATTCCACGTTGCACATACAAATATCAATTCTAAGTGTATTTAAAATAAGTGTTAATATGACTGTGAATTTGTGGTGTGCATTTTTATATAGCTTACTGTCCATGTTTGTGAATTTGAATGTTGATAAATCGTATTGATGAAATACACTGATTCTAAGAAGTTGATGATATACAAGGTCTGTTCTCACAAAATTCACAAACCACTCAGAGTGAATTTCATTGGTTGAAAATAGTCAGAAAACTAGTTGTTGGCGATTTGCACCAATCAAAAACGCTCTGCCTGGTTTGTGATTTCTGTGACAAGAGACCCTCAAACAGACCTAATTACATACATACAAAATCACAATTGAAAATGTTCCAATGTTTAGTATTTAGCTATTTTAAATAGTTTACTGCTTGGTTTTTTTGATAAAACGAAAATATGTATAACTAGGTATAAGTGAATTAGAAGTTTCCTAAATTTTGCTACTTCAATAATTATAATAGTTTACTTAATTACATATTATGTAATTGTATTTAGTGGCAAAAAATAGGGAAATTCAATTTTAAAATATTTATAGGTTATTGAATAAATAGTTTCAAAAAAAATATGCTGCCTCTCCAATGCTTTCCTGGGATCTGACAAAATACCTATGTATATGAATATCAACCAAACATAGCCTTTTAAAGATAATAATAAACAACTTACATAATACAAAAACATGAATTTGAAATATGTTACAGGTTTTAAAAAATTTAGTTTCTTTTATCCATAGGATAAAACAGAAATGTTGTGGACAAAACAAAACGTTATACTAAAGAAAATCAACAGAAAATTTACCTTTTCAAAACCGATTGAAACAAAAATAAAATAGAATATCTAATAGAAAATCCTGTAATACTAAAATTATGTATAATATCTTTGAAAAAAAAATAATAATAAAACTAAAAATTTGCAACTTACTTGTGTCAATATTCCTTTGCAAATGTGTAGCAATCCGATGTCTTGCATCGTTATATTCTAAATGCAAACCCAGCCTTAATATTGTTGGATTTTTCTCAATCAGCTGCGTTATCTCCATTTCTATTTTATTACCCAATATTTGACTTCTCTAAAATAAAATAATAAGTAAACCTAGTTGAATCCAAGTCATATAATATTTTACCTGATTGGTCGCCCGAAATTCTTCCACACTATTTTGTTTCAACAGAGACTTGATCAACCGCACAATGGCTTGAGGAGAAATATTGTTGCTCTCCACATTGACCACCCTCACTTGACTATTTTTCTCTATCGCTTGCGCCAGCTTGTCAGCAATGTGGTCTGTCAGACCAGTGTTGGACAGCGATAACGTTTCCAGGTGAGTATTTTGTTCTAAACCCTCAAAGAGATTGGTCAATTTCTCGTCAGAGATATTCTGAAATTCCATATAAATCAGCTTATTGTTCGGACAATGTTTTGGTCAAAAAATTTTACCTTAATATTGTTCCAATTGAGATCAATATATTTGGGGTCGTCGTTTTGCACCCGTCTTATTGAATCTTCCACGTCAGTACTGTTTGGCGGATCCATGGGGAATATTTTTTGTTTGGGGGCTTTTGTAATGCCGTCCCATCCCAGACCCACCGGTTGGCCTTTGTTCAGCAATGACGCGTGGTATTGGTCTTGGTTCATCATCGAATGGAAGCCAAGGATAGCTAGAAAAATGGAAATTTCTTTAGTATTGGATTTTTTCCTGGTGAAATTACACTGCAAGCGCTTTTATAAGTTCTCAAGTTATATCTTTTCTACTAATATTGAGATGCGCTGTTTAGAGGTTTTTGTAGAGAGAAAGTCGGTACGATTAAAAAAATATTAACACACACCAGATATACAATAGAAAAAAATATCATGACCTAAAACAGTAGGAGACAGGCAGTAGGAAGATCTAGTCTGGACACCATAGCAAATGATAGAAAAAGAGTAATTTTGAAAATCAAATACAACATTAGAGAGAACATAAGAATAAGAAAATTAAGGGACTTTGGCCATGTGATACCAAGTGAAGGGATAGATAAACAAATCATAGAAACGCAGCTATAGGAGACAATCTGTGGGAGGAAAATGAGAATAGAGAATCATTGTGAATACAAATTTTAAGAAACAAGAAATGGCTAATATGTACAGGGTTATTGGTTATAAATGTCACCCCCCTCTATCTTTTTTATTTGACATTTAAAAAAAAAGTGTCCCAAATAAAAGTTTTATGGTCGAAATTAAATTTTTTTAAAAACTCACTTTCGCATATACAGGGTGTTTCAGAAAAGCTGGTCGTGCTCCAAATTTCTTATTTCAAATAGAATACCCTGTATATTATTGAATATTCGGATTCTACGTAAAATTCTAAGCAGATTTTATGTGATATACCCTATACTCGACCCTATACCTAAGTTCAACTGTTTTGGAAATATTGACAGTTGAAAATTGACTTTTTTGCAACTTTGACAGGCTGTAAATCCTAAACGGTTAATTTTAGAGCAAAACCGATCTTACATTTTTATGTGTACAAAAACTGTAATTTTCTGTAAATTTCCGTAATTTTTGTAAATATCAGTAATTTTTAGTAATTTCTAGTAATTTTAGTAATTTTCAGTAATTTCTAGTAATTTTTAGTAATTTTTAGTAATTTTTGGTAATTTTTGGTAATTTTTCAATAATTTCCCAGTAATTTTTTATAAATTTTAAAGGGTATTTTACACAAACGTTTGTAAAAAATTTATTCTTGACAAAAGCAATCCTACAGTTTGATCTATAATAAATGTCACCCTCTTCTAACTTTTTCATTCAACATTTTTGACAAAAGTGTCAAATACAAAAGTTTCAAGAAATTGTCGAAAGTTTTTAACTAAGTCAGTTTCAGGGTGCGTCAAAGAAATGTAGCAGTGTAAAACTATATTTTTTTAAAATGATACACCCTGTATATTGTATGCTTATTCGTTAGTTCTTTTTAACCTTATTTCAACGATATATCGTTTAATGTGTTTATCTTCAATAGCTATAGGGAAAAACATGAAAACCCCTTTCAAGGTTTCACATTGAATTTATTGAAATAAGAAAAATTATACCATTAAAGTATTACAGAAATTTTTTTATCTTTTTTTTCTTATCTTCCCCTATGAACGTGGAATTTTTAAATATTCTCATAAAATCTTAGTGAATTCCGAGGAATTTTTAAGAAATTACATGAAATGTCAATGAAATTCCGAAGAATTTCATGAAAATTTTGTGGAATTCCGGGATATTTCAGTGGTGAAATTTTGGGGAAGCTAAAAAAAAAATTAATGGAATTTTGAAATTGAAATTTTAGTGGAATTCCGAGGAATTTCATGGAATCCTATACTGTAATTCCGAAAAAAAATTGTCTAAGAATTCCATAAAATCTTCTGGTGAAATTCTAAGGAATTTCTATGAAATTAACTAAAATTTTCACGGAATTCCCATGAAATAACTTGAAATTTTAATGGAATTCCGAAAAATTTCATGAAATATCATAGTGCAATTCTGAGGAATTTTTGTGTAAGAATGCCATTAAGTTTTATGGTGAAATTCCATAGATACTTTTCCGAATTTCATCATAGGATTCTATGATGAAATTCGAAAAAGTATCATGAAATCTTATAGTGAAATTTCTAGGAACTTACATGTTTCCATTCAAATTTATCACTTGGATGGAATTTCATAAAATCTTCTCGTGAAATTGTGAGGAATTTCTATGGAATTGACTGAAATTTTCGCGGAATTTGCATGAAATAACTTGAAATTTTGGTGAAATTCCGAAGAAAAAAAATTTCTAAGAATGCCATTGAATTATAATATGGTGTCAAATGTGACATGTGAAATTTTTGCCGAGTTTCCATAGAATTCACATTGAATTTTAGTTCCTCTCGAATTACATGAAATTTCCAGAAATTACATGAAATTTCAGTGGTATTTCGATCGAAATACATGAAATCCTGAATGTGTTGCATGGAGGAATTCTAAACAATTAGTACATGAAATTACACCGAATTTCCTAACATGAAATTTCAGTGCTAACTACATAAAGAATTTCAAAAAAGTTTAAAAAAAAACACATGAATTCCGAGGGAAATTCCGAAAAATCCTAATCTAATTACACGAAGTTTTATTTTTATTCCAAGGAATTCCCAGTTAAAAACATGGCATTTTAGTGAAATTGAAATTCCGAAAAATTCCCATCGAATTATATACTGAATTTTATTAAAATTAGAGAAAATTTCACAAGTGGAATTCCGAACTATTTCCGGCTAAAAACTTGGAATTTCGGTGAAATTTGGAAAAATTCCCATGTAATGATATGAAATTTCAATATATTCCGGAGGAATTTCGGTGAATTTTCAAGAAATTACTTGAGGTTTCATTAATATTCCCAAAAATTCCTGACTATTCAAAGAGATTTTCACTGAAATTCCGAAAAATGGAAATAAATGAAATTTTTGAAAAAAAAATTGGAATTTCGAGACATTTTCGACTAATAACGTGGAATTTCAGTGAAATTTCAAAAAAATCTCACAAAATTTTAGTGAAATTCCGAGGAATTTCCAAGAAATTACAGGAAATGTCAGTGAAATTCCGAAATTTTTAAGAAACTTTGTGGAATTTCGGGATATTTCAGTGGTGAAGTTTTGGGGAATTTCAGTACTTAAAGTTTTAGAAAAATTATGGAATTTGGTATTTATATAGAATTTTGGAGATTTTCAGTGGGATTTCGAAAAAAAAAAATTATGAAATATTCGCAGAATTTCCATCAAATTATATATAATTTCACTTTGTGTCGACTTACATAAAGTTTCGATGAAATGTCGAGTAAAATTCCAAGGAATTCTCGTCGAATTGCATACATGGAATTGCTTGAAATTCTACTGTGGAATTCCATTGAAATTACATGGAATCCGAAGAATTCTCTTAGAATTATACCGAATTTCCGTGGAATTTTCATGGAACCACGAGAAATTTTGGCGGAATTCCGAAGAATTGAATTAAATTTTAGTGGAATTCTGAGTAATTTCGGTCGAATTACATAAAATTCTAGTGGAATTCCGAGAAATTTCATGAAATCTTTTACTGTAATTCCGAGGAATTTTTGTACAAGAACTCCATTGAATTTTATGGTGGAATACCATAGAATCTTATGGTGAAATTCGGAAAAGGATCATGAAATCTTATAGTAAAATTTCTAGGACTTTCTGTTTTTATATTCGAATTTGTCATTTGAACGGAAAATTTCCGCAGAATTCTCATGGAATATTTTGAAATTTCAGTCGAATACCACAGAATTTCATGAAATCTCATAAGTAGTGTAATTCCAAGGAATTTTTGTCAAGAATTCCATTGAATTGGTGGAATTTCATAGAATCATATGATGAAATTCGGAAAAGTATTATGAAATCCTATAGTAAAATGTCTAGGAATTTTCGTTTTTTCATTCAAATTTGTCATTTGAATTTGGAATCTCTAAAAAATTTTCGTTTTTTCATTCAAATTTGTCATTTGAATTTGGAATCTCTAAAAACTTTTCAAAAACCCCTAAAATGCTCCAGAATCACCTAAAATCGTTTAAAATCTTGTAAAATCATATGAAGATTTTCAAAATCCTCAAAATATATGAAGATTTGAAATCTGTGTACATATTTTAAGGAGTTAACAACCCCTCGATAAAAACTAAAGAAATGTTCGACTATGTAGACATTGAGGTAGACACTATAGTAGGCTATCTTCTTAAGTGAGTGTTTATTAAAAACGACCTGCTAATAAAATATGTACTTGAAAAACATAATATGACATCATCCTTATTTGTGTTTTAACTCGATTTAAAAATGTGTGCAGAAGTGGCAATAATTAAATAAATATCTAATCTCCAACAAATAAAAGAATCTCTGCGAAATCCTATTAGGTACCTATTCAAATAAGGTTTCACAGAATAAAGCTAATAGTCTATTCAGAACATGAAAATAAAGCACATCCTCTTTGTTTACTTTCACTTAAAGATTCTCACCTGCCAAATCAATAATTTCCTCTTGCGATGCACTAGTCAATGCATGCTCGTACTCATCGCCTAAATCTATTTGAATTTTTTCATCTGCATCTAGTTCGTTCTGAGCCGAAGGTGGCGGGATCCATTTTTTGCCTCGCACCGTGCCCGCCACATAAGGTTTCAATTCCGGCCTGTCCGGCGTTTCTATTGCTTGCCTATTGATGTGCTCAATTAATTTTTTCCTATTTAAAGGTCCTGTCGGGTCCTTATCACAATCGTAGCTGGTCCTTTCGGATGGCGGTAGAAACGAATCGTCTGGATCTACTTCTTTGGCTAATATGTTAATTTCTTCTGCTGTTAACTTATCTAAGAGGGTGTCTACGTCGACGTCATCATACACACTGAGATCTTTGCCATATAACTTGGCTGGGGTTGTCATTGTTGTGGTGGTTGTAGTGGACGAAGTCTGTAAGAGAAAAATAAATTTGTTTATTGAAATTTCAAACTTGTAGGTATAAGAATATTGGGTTATCGATTGTTTTTGTGAACAAATATTTATATTAACACAATAAAGCACATTTTGAGTTTGAGTTTGAGTGAATGCAATATCATTTACGTAAACAATGAAGAGTAAGGGTCCTAGATGTGACCCCTGCGGAACACCTGATGGAGCTTTAATTTCGGTGAACTGAAAGTTGTGGATACGTACAATTAGTGTTCTATCTGTAAGGTATGATGTTAACCATTCTAAAACCTCTCCCTTAATTCCATCCAATGTGTCTCAGTTTATTGACAACATGACTCTTTTTCCAATGAATTCAAGAGAAAATCTATAAATGTAAGCAAGTTTAACTCAGAGAAGCGGTGGGGGAGTAATCCAAATTGCTAGTTGATGAAGCAATCCTTCAGACCAGCAGACAAATAGTCAGACTAAACCTTCAAAAACTTTTGGAATACAACTGAAAATACTGATCTAATATCCAAACTTGATAACCTTTCATAAATTGATGAGATTGGTATATTAAAATGGGAAAGACTGATGTCACCAAAAGGTAGAGAGTCATTCAGGGTACAGTCCTTGTCACTATATATTTTTGATAAGTATTCAGCAAACAAATTGACAATATCCTCTCCCACAGAACAACTTACATCATCAAAGTGCATGACTGATGGTATACTTATAGCTTTTTTCCTTTCTGCAATCCACAAATTTCCAAAAATTTTCAACATTGTTCCTGAGAGACGATTCAGTTAAATCTAGTATAGTCTGAATTTAACCCTAAATTGAGATATTTTTTGTGTGTTTTCGTTTTTTCTATTATAACGAGTATTATAACTTCTTTAAGTTCTTGAGAAAACCAGATGGGAAATTTTTTTGCTGAAATTTTCTTTAAAGGAACAAAAATATGTTAACTGAGCAACATCATAAAATATGTTGACCATGTTATCAAGGGATTTGTTATTGAATAACCTGTCCTATTCGAACTGGGATAAAAAAGTAATCACTGCGTCAAAGTCTACTGATTTAAAGTCCCTATAATAGCGGTCACCCTTGAGACCACAGCTGTTATAATGAATGGATTCACATTGTATGAAAAAAGAAAGTGGTGAGTGGTAAGGTTCCATTGGCAGTAAAGCAATCTCTGCCTCACAAATCATGATGTCCCTCTTTTGTAAAAACACAAAATCCAAAAGGCCGTTGTTTCATTTCGGACAGTGTTTAATTGAAACAGGTTGTGGTAGGAGCAAAGGTGAGAAACTACCTGAATGGACCCAAATTCGTTTTGGGTGCATCCTACTAAGGGGGTCGCCACTGAAGCCAATTTTTCCCTGGTCCAGAGACTGTTAGGTAGGTTGAAGTCACCCAAGACACACAACCTGCGGTCTGGGTATTTCTTAATGATTGTGTTCCTACCTATTTGATAAAACCAGGGAAAATTGTGAAAATCAATTATTTTCAACTTTGATTAACTATCTATATCTTGACCTATGTGATGAATTTTTTGACCGAAAAACAATGTTACGAGAATTATTATTTTCACATTCAAAAGCCATGAAACCTGATATCATATCAGCTCACAGCAGCCCGCAGCAGCCTATTGCAGAAACGGAAAAATCTACAGGAAAAATACTCCCAATCAGCCAGCCATCAGGACGAGATGTGAACAAGATCTCCTTAAACAGCAAAATTTGTAAAACAAGTAAGTCAAAAGTTGCCTATCAAATAATACTCTGTAGTAAATTAGTACAGAGTATTATTTAATGATTTTATTGTGGAATTTCAGTATTTTATGTAACATCACTCTTACAAAATCAAATGGAAGAATACACTTGAGAATACATAGGAATACAAAGGAGTACATATGAATACATAAAAATATATTGGATTGATGCTTATACACTGAAATAAATTGGCGATTTACCCCTCATTAGGCAAACTACTATAATATACCCTCAAATATACCAGGATATAATGCAACCTATGACTGTAGCGAGGACTGCAGGGACAAGAGAGGTGGAGGATGTTGCGTTTCTGTTAAAAATGAAATAAAATTTAGCCCTAAAGATGCCAAATTCACTTAAACTTACTGTAATTTTGTGGTTACACAAATAAATAAGTTTAACAGAACTATAAGCTGAGCTGGATATACAGAGCGCAAAGAGACAGTACAACCTTTCTCGCGTTGCCAGCCAGTGGGACAGGGGGGGCAAGATGAAAGAATTGGGAATCTGGATTAGGGATAATACTCGGGGTAATATGTACTAAAAATTCTTATAAAATTTCTATTCATTGCATTGTGCAGAAAAAACCTACTGAATTAGATTTTTGAAAACTTTGAGAAATCATATCCCAAATTTTATTATAGATAGAAAGCTGAAATTCCTTTTTTTATAGAAGTTCGCATCAAATCCCACGATAAATCACTGTATGGAGCGAGGTATGGAGTTTCAGGGATCCCAATTCATCCTTTGAAGTTAAAATCTCCTCGGAAATCTGCACATAAAAAAATTTGAAATTTTGACCGTTTTGGAAACGGGGAGGAATTTTTTGTGAACAGAAAATGGTTTTTTTGGAATTTTTCGCACTTTTTTAAGAATTTTTGGGATTTTTGGGATTTTTTGTGGAATTAACGAGGGGGTAACAACTGGTGGCAATACATGTACAAATTTTATTGCATTACAAAGCATTACTGGCATTACCGCAGAGTTACGGCATTACGGTGGCATTACTTTGGCACCATGGGACATTACTTGGTATTACCAGGGATTATGCTGGCATTACCTACGAATATCGCGGAAAAGCGTTTGCATTCAATGGAGTTACGGTTAATTTTTAACCCTCGAATTTTCCAAACATTCACTGGGAGATCATATTCATATCACCAACACCAACTCCAATATTAAAAACAACTTTGGGTAAGTTTGTGTATCTATAAAATGGAAATAATTCCACATAAACAGGGTGAAGCAAAAAAAAAGTTACAGTACTTAAAATATAAGTATTTTTGTTTTAAATGGAACACCCTCTATATATTATAGGTCTGTTCTCACAGAAACCATAAGCCGATTTCATTGGTAGAAAATAGTCAGAAAACTTGTGTGTTAGCGATTTGCACAATCAAAAACGCTCTGGTTTATGATTTCTGTAAGAACAGATCTTATATCATTTTTGAATTGTAGGCAAAATTCTCGGCAAAATTCTACACCATTTCAACCTCAATTTCGGAAAAAATAACTTTTATTTAGGAAAATGTAAAGTCATTTTCAGAAAAAGTAAAATTAATTTCGGAAAAAGTGAAGTTAATTTCGGAAACACTAAATTTAAATTCGGAATAAGTAAATTCAAATTCGGAAAAAGTAAATTCAAATAGGGAAAAAGTATTAAGTACTTAAACATAGTTCTACATATCTACTTAGAAAATCTAGCCGACATCGCTATTGGACGAATTAATGCTGGAATCTGTGTCCGATCATATAACCATGTCCAGAGGCATTATCCTGCAGTTATGAGACTGGATGATTTTTATTCAATCCGAGAACATAATATTAAGGAGTACCTACATGTAATTTCTCTTATATATTTTCAATAATGTGTTTTTTCTATGTACCTAAATAACTTATCAATTTTTCCGAATTTGAATTTACCGTTTCCGGAAAAAGTGAAGTTATCACTTTTTCCGAAATTAACATTACTTTTTCCGAAATTAACTTTACTTTTTCCGAATTTAACTTTACTTTTTCTGAAATTAATTTGACTTTTTCCGAAAATGACTTTACATTTTCCTAAATAAAAGTTACTTTTTCCGAAATTGAAGTTGAAATGGTGTAGATGTGCGATTAGTGAGAAAACAACTGAAGATAGGAGAAGACAAGTTTCACTTTCCTGTCCTAACTTGACTACTTGAGAGATACTCAAAGGTTGGTATAATGGTGGTACCAAATTTGGTATCCATTGTACCATCATCAAGACCACCATTATCAGATAGCTATTGAAAAGTTAAGATAAAACTCGAGATAAAACCATTCTAAAAGAAGTCACCAAATATAAATATTTGGGTATCTGGGTACACATAGAAGGCTTGATTAGCAAGATAGTTCCCTCGTTAGTTCCTATGGTAAAGTAAAATAAAAAGAAAAGTGCTGAACTCGGTGCTGAATATTTAAGTCAAAATTCTATGCTGGTAAAATACTCTGGTTATATGTAGAGAGATTGCAAAGAGGCTCAGAACAAGGCAAATTTTTTAAATAGACTTTTATACATTGACAAAAATCTGGGTCATTGAAAAAATTTAAACTATAGTGAACAAACAAAATGTATTAACAGTGTAACAAACTCAGTAAAAAATAAAGTCATAAAGGTTAATTCTCGGGTTAATTCACCATAAACTTAGTTATGATGTAATAAGAGATCTTATGGTTAAGGCTCGGGTTAAGGTTAAGACTGTAAATACTCAGAATTTTCCACTCTACGGAGGAATCCAATATAATCAAATATGTAAGTACAGTACATATGGAAATGAATACCTAATATGAAAAAACTTTGGTATTACCCTAAGTAAAGGTAATTTTTCACAATTTGATCAGTTAAATTCATGGATAAATTATTGAAAATAGTAACAAATTAACATATTATAATCGGGATTATAATGTAATAAGTAAAAAGAACATTGTGTAGAATTTATTATTGTGAAGTAATTAGATAAATACCTTACTGTACAGGGTATTTGATTATATTTAGCACCATACCTACAGCCTTTACTATTTAAGATAGAAAAAAAATTTAAATACAAAACTTGACAGTTTTTTTCTATATTTTCTTTTGACAGTATCAGAAAAAACAAAATCGCATCCGAAAATGGAATAACGTAGGCAACTTCTACTTTTTTCAATGGAACACCCTGTATATTATGTGATAAAATTAAAGATCTTTTCTTCCTGATTCCAAATATATATATATATATATAT